TGGGAGCGCTTGTTGTAGAAAAGCTGCAAGTTGGGTCAGTCGCGTGGTCACCAAGAAAAGCCTTCCCGCCGCGTGCGACTTACGTAGAGTCGGTCCGGGCTCTTGCTCAGGGTGGTGTAGTACTGCTCAACAAAGTACCAGCCGACCTCGTCCTTGGGAATCTCTGAGGCGGCGGCTTGCTGTGCGGGCTGGCTGGGCGTGGGCTGCTGCGAGGGTGTGAAGTTGGAGGCGCCGGTGGAGTAGCTGTTCTCGTACTGCTGCGGCGCGTAGTTGCCGTTGACGGGGCCGGATGACTCGGTGGATGCCATTTTCAATGTGCGGGTGACGGCGAGGTTATGCGGCGAGATGGAGGGCGAATTGCGTCGAGTTTGCGCGGGTGTGGTGGGGGATGAGATACGCGAAGCAGAGGACAGGCGCCTAGATGCTAAGACAGCAAGTCGACGTTAGCATAGTAAAAAGCTATCCTCGGGCTAGTTGCGCGTACCGGGCCGTGTGCACTGAATTGGGATGGAATCCGGTGGAGATGCAGGAATAGGCGGGCGATGAGATGGCGATGCGCGGGTGTAGATGGCCGAATATACGAAGCTCCCCAGAAGATGATCGGGATGGATTCAGGGTAGTCGGGGCTTGGGCGTGGGTTGGTCGTTGTGCACGTTCAAGCAAGAGTGCTAGTGAGGACCACACTGATTCGGAAGGCAAAATGCGAAGGAACCAAGTCTGTGCGTCGTTGCCCGATCAAGCGAACCTGTCCTGCACCTCCAGATTTCACCTCCATCGCTGCCTCGACCTGACGACTCTTGACTGACTTCACCGTGAAAGTGGCCTACTCGCTATTTTGCTATATTCACACTCGTCGATCAACAATTGCAGTCACTCACAAGCTATGCGTCGTCAATGCCCTGCGCATCTTGCCAGGGCGCCAACTCATGGAAGCGATTACTGATTTGAACGCAGAAGGATGATACACACGTAACCATCGTGAGAATTCATGTTTGGGTGGCCGCACGCACATATAGGATGCATCTTCAGTATGATTGTCCCATGTCGGACGCGTGTCGGAGATGCCATCATCTCCGACATCTCCTACGCGTCTCCCGCGCGCGCGTAAGAGCGAGATCCTTCCAACACCGCACTCGCCAGCAAATCTCTTCGAAAGACCGAATTGACCGTCTAAAATGTGGGTCACTGACTCCCGTCCCGCTGCTGCTTTCGCTGTTGTGGTAATGCGAATGTTGTGAGATATCTCGCCATTGGCTCGGCACGTCGGTCTGCGTCAAAGGCGAGGCCGAGCGCGAACAGGCGTGCAGGCCTACATGCAAACCTACCCCAATAATAGCTTGATCTCGAATATGCGGATCATACGGATTCCATGGTAAAGGAGCGAGGCGCCGCTACGCCTCTCCATGTCAACCTCAAGCATTCACTACTTAATCATGGCCTAGCCCAGCTTTCCTTTCATCAACTCCTTCACTCTCAACTTTTAGCCCTATCACTACCGCCTAATATCATGTCACAAACCACAAGCTCAGTGGCGTCTTTGCACGAGGAAAAGTCACGACTTCCCCAATCCGATGTCGAACAACCGCCAGCACCGGTCGACGAAAAGCAACTCGATACGACCGAGCCTACAGCGGTCGTGAGCCCATTCCATCCTAGTCAATTTCCTGATGGCGGCAGAGACGCCTATCTGTGTCTCCTCGGAGGCTTTTGCTGTCTCTTCTGCTCATTTGGATGGCTAAACTGCGTCGGAGTGTTCCAAAGTTACTACCAGCGGAATCAGCTCAGCGCGTACTCGCCGTCTACCGTCGCCTGGATCGCTTCCCTCGAGATCTTCGTCATGTTTGCGCCTGGACCTATCGTCGGTTTCCTCTACGACAACTACGGCCCCAAGTACATATTGTTGTTCGGTACTTTGTTCCACGTGCTTGGTCTAATGATGACCAGCCTATGCACCGAGTACTGGCAATTTATCCTCGCCCAAGGAATCTGCAGCCCTCTAGGTCTGAACTGTATCTTTCAGGCAGGAACGAGCACCATTCCTACATGGTTTCTGAAGAAGAGAGGCCTGGCATACGGGGTCATGGCAGCTGGCAGTGGACTAGGCGGCATCATCTTTCCTATCATGGCAACACACCTCATCCCCGAAATCGGCTATGGCTGGACAATGAGAACATTTGGCTTCCTCATCCTCGGCATGATGACTATCGCTTTCCTCACTGTCAAATCTCGCCTACCGCCACGACCCAGAACGTTCGAGTTCAAGGTGTTTCTGGAGCCTTTTGGTGATATTCGCTTCGTCTTACTGACGATTGCGTCATTTTTGTTCTTCATGGGACTGTGTAAGTTGCCCCCCTGTACGAGCTGCCGATAAGACGCGTACTAATCCCAGACTTAGTTATACCCATCAACTTTATCGAAGTTCAAGCGATGGCCGCTGGAATGTCGACTACCTTGGCTGGATATCTTCTAGCTATTCTCAACGCCGCTAGTATCTTCGGTCGCATCATTCCCGGTGCCCTCGCGGACAAGATTGGCAAGTTCAATATGCAGTCACTCTGGTGCCTCGTAGCTGGCATTCTGGTCCTTGCCCTGGCTATCCCCGCATCAAGTAACGCGGCATTCATTACATTCGCCGGCCTCTACGGATTCGCTTCCGGTGCTTTCGTGTCACTGTTGCCTGCCCAGATCGCTTATATTTCCAAGGTCGAACAGATTGGGATCCGTGTTGGTGTTGTCTTCGCCTGCATCTCAATTGCGGGGTTGATCGGTAATCCAATCGCAGGAGCTATCGTCGTCCAAAACAATGGAAAGTACTGGGGGCTGAACGTCTTCTCTGGTGTGATGATGATGGCGGGAGCAAGCATGTATATACTGACGAGAATGTATATTGCAGGATGGAAGGTGCTTGCACTAGTTTAGTTGCATGCGTAATCAGAATCAAGCTTTGCCCACACTACGGGATGACGGATGTGCTTCATTACGAATGCGTAGTTATCTTGAAGAATATTCTAAGTAGAAATGTAGACGATCTTGAATATCGTTGCGTGTAAAGATTCAACAGCTTATAAGCAGCAATGTACGATACAAGCTCTGTTGTGCCCTCATGCCTTTTGAAACTCACTTCGTGTTCCACGTGTATGCGTGAGAAATCCTTAACTCCGAACTGAGTCCGTGGGTTGAGTGCACGGACCGTCGATTCATGACAACACCCAGCAGTGTCGCAGCTTCCTACACTCTGTCACTACACATTATCAACCATGTCGACGCGTCCAAGGTTCTGGGCAAACGTTGTTCATCAGCCTACCCACGTTGAAGCGTGGTCAGAGCGTCTAGTCTGAGGAAGCACGGGCTGTTCGTTGTACGAAGGTTTGTACGATTCGCACATGGTCTCGTACATCAGCTTTCATGACCTTCCGCCGTTGTACGCACTGCACGCTACTCACTTTAATCTGTATTCGCTTAAAAACACCCGTCGACCTTGATACTCGTTCCTTCGTACCTAGGTAGTCGTACAAACAAGTGCCACCAAACAAGCAAAAGACGAAGCCAAGGGTGTTGTACGACTGCATAGGCCTATCACATACAGATTACTGAGCAGCCTATCATGCCCAAGCAGCGCCAAACCTGTACGCGGTGCTCTCAGAGACGGCAGAAATGCGATCGAAAGGCACCTTGTACAAGATGCGTGCAGAACAATGAAGGTCATCTTTGCACGACCAAATGGGTGAACGGATACAACCCAAATGTTCATCGCAAATATCCCCGGAAGCTTTCGGCAGCCGGTTCAAGCGACACATCTACATCTGGCCTGTCTCCCGATGCAAATGCTCAGGTCGCGCTACCCCCAATCCATCCACAAACGGCAGGGTCTCAATCGGGTCGGAACGAGCCGCATGAGGAAGCAGTCTGGCGAACCGGTTTACCCGACATGACGATTAGCGCTATATTGGAAGAGAAAGATGCAGACGCCAATCAAAGCCGTTTCGACAAGAGCTTCTCTTACGCCCGGTCGAAACGATCGCCACGAGATGGACCGAACGGGTCGACCTCTATTGCGAGCTGCTATTCGGCTGCAGCGAGGATAGTGGAGACACAGTACCTGCAGTCGATTCTGCCGCCGAGAGAAAAGTTAATGCTCATTGTGGAGTACTACGAACAGTACATGATGTACTGGCACGGCGGCATCTACCATGGGCCAAGCTTTCGAAAGAAGCTGCTTCAAGCGTATGGTCAGTCGTGTGAGCTTGCTCTGCAAGACCTTGACTGGACATGGGTAGCCCTCTTGTGTAAGTTTACCTCCATTTCGAATGATGCAGGCCTACCTTACTTGATATGCCATCAATGCGAAGGTTACGGTGACCAGACTCAATCTTCTCGGTCGATACTAAAGTTACTAATTCCAATCCTGTAGTCGCAATTCTTTCATCCAGTATCATAGGCTCTTCAGAAATAGCTTCGACGTCCTGGGGCTTCTCGGTTGACGAAAAAGTCCAGCTGGCACGCGTATGGGGCGGAGCATCGATCTCATGCCTGAATCTTGGGAATTATACATCGCAATACAGTATTCACTCGGTACAGACAATTCATATCATGCACGCATATGAACATCTAGCAGGCTCAAGTAATCAATGGATCGCTCTCCGTAGCGTGGGGGTAGTCATTGCGAAAGGGCTTGGTTTGCACAAGTAGGTGGCATAGATTCCTGAGATACGGACTCTCGTAACTGATCAAGCAGACTTGGGCCCCATCCAGACGACGATAGGATAAGTGAACTGGACGCAAGACAGAAAGAAGCATTCATCGAGCGTGAAATTGGCCGTAGGGTATGGTATGGGACTGTATGCCAGGAGTGGTACGTCTAAAGCACAGTTCAGGCGATTCATATACAATTCACTCATCTATTATTTAGGCTGTGTTGTACTTCATCCGCCTCTTACACGTTGACACTCCAATGGCGGCATTTCACGAGCACAAGGCCACGCGAATTGGACGAAGAAACCATGACGCCCGTCGCCGACACAGGAATTCCAACAATCGTAGGTGTCGCCAAGTGGACCTTTGACTGCGCTGCGTTACTTCTCGACGTTCACAACGCTATGGTGGAACTCGAGGACAAAGACGACGCTATCAAATACGCCACAATCCTCAGATTTGATGGCGAGATGCGTACTTTGTGTACGGAGAAGCTGCCGAGATATCTTCTTCCTCGGGTACCCCACGATCCCAGTTGGCCACAATGGGTCGTTTGGGCGAAGCGGCTGCACCACGCATCGACGCATCATAAGATTATTATGAGTGAGTATTCACCATTATAGATTGTGCAAAGATCTATACTAATTCTGTCACGTATCATCAGTCCATCAAAACTTCTTGAGCAAGAGCTTCAAGGACGTCCGCTACACATACAGCCGGTGGGCTTGTATGAGCGCAGCTCAGAGTCTCATCAGCTTGTACAACACTCGAGATGCGCAAGAGCCGCAGTGGTGGGTTGAACAAGCTTTCATCATCACCGCGGGTATTTGCCTCATTCTGGAGCTCTTTCATCGTGCTGAAGCAGACGCGGAGGCACAAGAGTGCCATCTACATGTCACGCGAGCTATCAGGTGCTTGCAACTGTTTCACACGTCAAGTGTTGCAGTGCACGGCGTGCGTCTGCTCATGTCGCTTATGGCAGAGTATGAGAAGCTCAGAGATGGATCAAGCCAAAGGTCCACACTATCAGTGGACACAGCAACCACCCAAACCTGTTCCTATATTCCCGGCAATACGGCTGGTATTCCCATGCCGGACACTGACCGTGCGACTCAACAGCTGCCTCTAGATTCTGAGGTTCAACCAACATTCGCCGATCCGACCACGTGGAATTTCGATATCGACAGTCTGGGCTTCGAAGATCTGATGGACTATCTGCCCTCAGAAGGCTTGTTGAACAATAATGTCCTCAACGCCAGCATGTTGTCTGGTACTGGATGGCCGATGTGGTAGCTCTTCCCCCATTCATTAACAATCGATCTCACCGATCGCGCTGGTTCCTTCCGTCACGACAAGCAAGTGGTCTGACACCGAGGTGGCTCCTCCCTTGTCGTATCTTTTCAGAGCTCTGTTTAGTCTCCCCGAGCAGCCAACCTGACAACTGTATGCTCACGCATGATCGATTGCGTAGACACCACCTAATAAGGTAAGCTTATGACAGCTCATTACAAACACGAGCTAACAGGTGCAGTCACTCAGCGACGCCAGTATGTCTCAGGACCCCGAACTCGACAAGATGCTTGTGCTCGACGCCCTGAGTAGCGGCCTCAACATATCCATGACAGAGCTCCTCAGCATCCTCGGTCGACAAGCCCCGATCTCAAACCTTCTTCTCGGACCCGTCATCAGACCACAGCAAATTCCCATGACGACGGCCTCTCATCCCGAACCGAGCACGCTTCTACAACAGAAGGCACCGGCGGCGACAGGGGGACAGCACCTGTTGAAGGAGTTCCACATTGTATACTGGACCGCTTTGGGTCTCGTCACCCTCATCGCTATAGCGGCTATCTGGACGAAAGCTCACATGGCGGCGCAAAAGGGTCGGAAGTCGTTCGAGGCCAAGAAACCTATGTCGGACGTTGAGAAATGGCACATGCGGCGTCAGAAGGCCCGCGATGAGGCGTCCATGGCGCTGGGGCAGGTGGATGATCAAGCTCCGGGTACGTGAATGCGTGGCTAAAAACAGAACGCGGAAATGGTTTCGCGATGCGGGAGGGCTCCATTGGGAGCTTCTGCGCTTCTTATTTTGTATTTGTATTTGTTCGTGGAGGATGGCAACCGCGTATGGCAGATTTTAGCGTATCAAGCGAGGCAAGAGAATCGAGTGCATGTATAATACCGGATCACTGAATAATCACACCTAATCACAACTGCTCATTGTCTCATAATCTTCGTTTCTGTTGCTGCCGCTTCATCAGAGTCGCGCATCCAGTCAAACCTCGGCAATTCATAGTACCCCACACCCGTAGACGCGTCGATCTCCCGGCATGCGTATCGTGCATGTACTACTCTCGTGGTTTACTGCGATGCTTCAACTTGTAACGTGTAAGGATGCGCCGCTAATTTGAAATTGACGTTCCATGTGTTGATCCGCAACGATGAAGGCCATCCACATCGACAAATTTGTCTCTGTAAGCCACCCACCTAAGTACCTACATCATCTCCCCTAACCATGACCATCTATAGAACGTAACAGACCTCAGACCTACCACCATCTCAAATCCGTCCTCAAAATCGTCACAAGACATTCACGTAAAAATCACCCATGCAGCCGTAACCCATGTCGACCTCCTCTACGCCCAGGGCCTGCACCAAAACAACCGCAGACACGTCCAACCGCCCTTCATCCTAGGCACAGAATACGCCGGCGTCGTTACCCACAGCCCCCCTTCCTCTTCCTTCCCACCCGGCACGCGCGTCTTCGGCGGCGGCCTAGGCGCCTATGCAGAGCAACTATGCGTCTCTGAACCCTCCATCCGCCGCGTCCCCTCGCGATGGACGAACGCTGAAGCCTGCGCCGTTGGCGCAAGCGGTGCGGTGAGTTATGGCGCTTTGATTTCAGTTGCGCAACTCAAAGCCGGAGAAACTGTTCTCGTGCTCGGTGCGAGTGGCGGTTTGGGTGTCATGGCTGTGCAGATTGCCAAGGCGGTTGGGGCGAGGGTTATTGCTGTTGTCGGGGGGAAGGAGAAGGCTGAGGTTGTGAAGAGTGTTGGTGCGGATGAGGTTGTTGATTATGGACAGGATGGATGGGAAGCAAGGGTTAAGGCGTTGGGGAATGGTCGGGAGGGGGTGGATGTCGTGTATGATGGGATTGGGGCTGTAGAGAGTGGAATTAGGTGTTTGAGGTATCGGGGGAGGTTGGTCGTTGTTGGGTTTGCGGCAAGAGGGGGAAAGATGGAGAACCTGAAGGTCAACAAGATTTTGCTAAAGGGGGTTGCGGTATTTGGTTATGTGAGTTTGCCTTCCGTAGTCATCCTGTTGTCTCGTTTGCTGACTCACGATAGCGGTTTGGAGAAGATGGGAGAAGAGATCCGCAACGGACTCAAGATGTGTGGGACGGGTTCATGAAGTTGGTTGAGGATGGTAAGATCCGGCCCGTCATATACAAGGAGGATTATTGGGGATTAGAGACGGTTAGTAGGGCGCTGGAGGATGTGAGGGAGCGGAAAACTTGGGGAAGGGCTGTGATAAGGATAAGTGAAGCAGAAGCGGATAAGACGGAGCAGAAGGCAAGGTTATAATGCAGACAAATAGATGTTGCTACTCAAGATGTCGACCTCACGCGATCCTCTGTGGGCACCTGCAGTAGGTCGCGATCTCCTATTTGATGGTAGATCTCGTGATGGGCGTGTCAAGCATGCATATTTGCAGCTTTCATCCAGGCCATCGTGACCATACTGAATTTGTATCACTTTAGGGGTGAAGTCCACGCGTTGGTGATGCTTCACCCTGGATGCGTGGCGTCGAGGCCATCAAAAGCGCACGGACCCTCGCGGCGCGCCGGTTTAGCGCGGTTTCTTTGGACGGGCCTTGTTCGACGTTCCCATGTTTAAAACATAGCCCGTCAACTTCGACGCTCGCCGTCTGCTCTTACTTTCCTCCTTTTCCCTCTCCGACTGCGCGCCGCCCGTCCAAAACTAATCAGCGGATAACTTCACCCTCACGTCCGCTTGATTGCCGCGGTCACACCCCCGAGCTTCGCGACAGCTTTAACGAGGACACGCTCCTCTATCACCACACGCATCGATAATCATGGCGTCCTACGGCAGCGACCCCGAAGAGGAAGAAGAAGACTTCAACCCCGCGCCTGAAATCGACGAGGATGACGTCGCGCCAACGACCAAGGCCACGCGCAGGCCCGTAGACGAGGACGAAGAGGACGAAGTCGATGCGCCAAACAGGACAGGCAATGACGACGAGGATGAAGAGGGCGGCGGCATAGATCTCGACGATGACGATGACGAGGAAGATGACGAAGAAGATGAGGACGACGAGGATGTTGTCGTGGGTCCCATCATTCATTCGCGCCGTCTAATTACTGACTGTCCTAGGCCCGACCTGCCAAGCGGAGAAAGAAGGCCAAGCGCAACATGTTCATTGATGTTGAAGCCGAAGTCGACGAGGATGAGGAAGAGGAGGAGGAGGGCGACGACGAGGGTGTTGATGAAGTCCACCCCGATGATCTCCTCGAGCCCACGGGCGCCGATCTCGACGACCGCCACCACCGCGAACTTGACATGCGCCGCGAAGTCAATGCACAAAAGGACGTTGAGGAGCTCGCCAAGGAGTTCGATGAGAAGTACAGGCGGCGTGAGATGCAGAGCACTCGCCGCGGTGGAGCCGGTGCCGTTCCCCTGGCCCTACCCACAGTCGACGATCCGTCTATCTGGGGTTGCAAGTGCCGTCCTGGAAAGGAGCGTGAGATCATAATGTCTATTCAGAAGCGTATCGACGAGAAGATGCGCACAGGTCAGCCAGTACAGGTCTACTCGGCCTTTGAGCGAGGCCCTACTGGACCCCAGTCTGGTTTCCTCTACGTTGAGGCCGACTCGAAGCAGGCTGTGGTGGAGTTGATCGAGGGCATACAGAACGTCTTCATGGGCTCTGGTCAGTTCTCGATTCCTCCAAAAGAGCGTCCAGATCTGCTCCGCAAGAAGAAGCGTGCGCCGTTGGAGGTTGGCAAATTCGTGCGCATGCTGCGTCCCCCCACATACAAGGGCGATCTCGCAAAGGTCGTTGAGGTCTCGACTAACGGTCTTGACTGTGTCGTACAACTTGTGCCACGTCTAGACTACGGTCTGAACGAGGACATCAACTCCGCCGCCGACAACAAGCGCAAGCGCGGCTTCTTCGGTCGACAAGTCGAGCGTCCACCTGCGAAGCTTTTCAACGAAGCCGAAGCGAAGAAGCGACACATGAAGCATCTCAGCATGACCGGATCTGGCAACCAAAGGGCATACACATACAAGGGCGAGGATTACCAGAACGGCTTCCTGATCAAGGAAGTCAAGGTCAACTGGGTCAGCACTGAAAAGGTCAACCCCAAGATGGAGGAATTGCAGTTCTTCGCAATCCAAAACGCGGATGGTACCGAGACCATGGATCTTCTGGCTGTCCAGGCCGCGCAGAAGGCCGCAGACTCTGGCTCCGCCTTCGCTGCAGGAGACAACGTCGAGATCTATACCGGTGAACAGAAGGGTATCCGCGGTACCACTGTCACTGTCATAGGCGACATCCTGACACTCCGTGTCAGCGAAGGCGATCTTCGCGGAAGAAGAATCGACGCACCCGTCAAGACGCTACGCAAATTGTTCCGCGACGGTGACCACGTCAAGGTCATTGGTGGCAGCAAGTATGTCGACGAAGTTGGTCTGGTCACCAGAATCAAGGATGATAAGATCACCTTGCTTTGCGACTCCACTCAGCAGGAAATCACGGTCTTTAGTAAAGACCTGAAGCGCGCTGCTGATTCGGCAAACGTCGGTGCTGACTCCAACTTTGACCTCTACGACTTTGTCCAGATTGAGTAAGTTATCTCCTTCCGATACCTTGACAACGAACTAACAGTCTGCAGTGCCTCAACTATCGGTTGCGTCGTTCGTGTCGATCGCGAAGTCCTTCGAATTGTCGATCAACAAGGCGATGTCCGCACACTCCTCCATACACAGGTCTCGCAAATCGTGGGGAGGAACAAACATGCTGTAGCAACCGACCGCGACGGATCCGAAATTCGACACGAGGACGACGTCAAGGAGTATGGAGGCGAAGGCCGTCAAGGCAAGGTTCTATACATCCACAGAGGCACACTTTTCGTACGGAACCGCGAGCTCGTCGAGAACCAGGGCATCTTCGTGGTTCGAAGCAACAACGTTGTTACCATGGCAGCAAAGAGTGGTCGCGCTCAAGCACAGGGCCCAGATCTTAGTGGCATCAACCCTGCCCTCAATGCAGGCCCGAACGGCAACGCGACTGCTATGCCACCACCCCGTGCCACTTTTGGCCGTGACAAGCTCATTGGTAAAACGGTTGTCATCCGAAAGGGTGCCTACAAGGGCCTGTTGGGTATTGTCAAAGATACCATGAACGACGAAGCCCGTATCGAGTTGCACACAAAGAACAAGCAAGTCTCGGTGAAGAAGGAGCTCCTGACTATCAAAGATCCCATCACTGGCGCCAGTGTCGAAATGGGAGGCAAGTTCCCCAACCGCTCACGTGGAGGCTTCTCTGGTGGTCAGACAAGCTACGGCGGAGCAGCTGGCGGACGTACACCCGGCTGGGGCAACTCTGGTGGTGGTGGCCGTACGCCTGGCTGGGGAGGCGGCGGTGGTGGTCGTACACCCGGTTGGGGAGGTGGTGCCGCTGCTGGAGGCCGAACGCCTGGTTGGGGTGGAGATGGCGGACGCACTGCGTATGGCGGAGGAGACGGATCACGGACTGCTTATGGAGGCGGCGATGGCTCCCGAACTGCATATGGCGGCGCAACTGCATACGGAGGCGCCACATCATATGGTGGAGCGACAGCCTACGGCGGCAATGATGGAAACCGTACCCAGTACGGTGGCTTCAACTCTGGCGGCCGCACACCTGGTTGGGGTGGATCATCCGGAAACACCGCTTCAAAGTCTGGTGGTCTCTCTGCTCCTACACCTGGTGCTTACAACGCCCCAACACCTGGCGCCTACGCTGCTCCTACCCCTGGTGGCTATGGTGCTTACTCCGCGCCTACGCCTGGTGGCCCGCCCATGGATGCTCCTACTCCTGGCAACTACGCTGCACCTACACCCGGTGACACGTCGCGCGGTGGATATGGTATTGCGGCGCCCACACCTGGCGGGTGGGATGCTGCGACGCCGGCACCTAGTGGCGATCCTGGCTACGATTAGGAACGTAGACGGTAGTCGGCAGTGTAAGATAGGCAGCTGTAGTATGGGTTTGCGCGAGACTGCCCAGTGAGATCTTTTGGATTTATTCGTTGCATTGCTGGAGTTGGCAAAACAGGATAGCTTAAAGTCACATTACAATTTTAACATCTTCTTGCCTACATGCGTCGATACCGTCTTCTTGACTTCTCGTGCAATGAAACGCGCGTCCAATAATCTTGACTAGCTTGTGCACATCTTATTCAAGGAAGAGACTGAACAAGTGCATTACAGTCTAGATCAGTATTGAAATGAAAGTTAATAAGATCATGACGCAACGCGACCTTCTGGATTGTTAAGTTTGGATAGGTGCTCATTTTCCCCCGGGGTGACTCTGTTTCATTCTTGCTGCAGGGTTCATCGCGGCCGTCCGTCATTCAGCAAAGCAATATCAATGACATGTCTGATAATGTTCATACGAACATCGTTCGATCGATCAAAGAAAGTACACTTAGCAAATGCTCACAAGTCGCGAAGAGGGAAGAGTTGGCAGCAGAGATTGTTACATTGCTGTAATAAGTCTTATCTAAACCATGATCTAGTAGACTAAAGGAAAAGGAAAGCTGGTATCACTCCACCACTCTCTGTGTAAATGCGAAATAATCAAAGAAGAAATGAAAATCTGAGTTGTCCACAACTCACTACAACACCACTCACTCCGCAACCATGCAACAAGATCTTCTAATGAGAAAGGAATATTACATTTAGTACTTGCGTACACGCCTTTGAATAGGAGTACCGACAGTAACCTGGGCAACGAATTAGTACATGTGATCTGACAAAAGCATGGCAGGGAGGGAAGAGCATACCTTAGCATCAAGAAGGCCCAGATCAGCATTGATCTCAACGTTGGTGGCACGAGGCGTAGCGTTCTGAGCAGGAGGCATCGAAGTGTTACCGGCAGATGCACCAATCTCCAAGATGTTCTCTCCACCGAGGGTGTTCTGAATGAAACGGGAGTTGAACTTGACAATCTTCTTGATAGCGTTGAAGTCCTCAACAGAGACGGGAAGAGGGTCCTTGACAATGAGGAAAGTGACGCCCTCGGCGCAAGGAGGGGTGGTAAGCGAACCGCTGTACGTCTGGATATCAGAGGTCTTGAGCGTCTCAACAACGTCGGTGAAGTCGATGCCGGAGGAGATTGTGGTCTTGGTGCCGGGAGTGGCGATGTCGGCGAGCGAGGAAGACAGCGATTGGATCATGGAAGCGGAGTCGCCGGAGGAGATCTCGAACATGAGCGCGATGACGGCGAGTTGGCTTTCGTCGTCGACACCCTGGTGCACCATGTGGATCTCCAAGGGGAAGTATTCGTCGTTGATGTG